ATAGAGAGAGAGAGTGAGAGAGAGAAAGAGATGGGGAGGGGGGAGTTTGCAAAAAATTAATTGCACGTGTGCGTGTGTGTTAGTAAATGCGAATGGAATTGTACACGTTTATGTGTAATAACAAAGAGAAAAAATTCAATGGTTAAAAAGGAAAAAAGGAATCAAAGGAAAAAATCAAAGGAAAAAAACAAAGGAAGAAATTATCGACATCGAAAAGAAAAATAATTTATAGTAAAAAAAAAAAAAAATTAACGGTTTTTTCTTTCTTTCAGTTTTTCTTCTTTTTTTCCCTTTTTAGGGGGGGGGGGAAACAAATTCGAAAAAATGAAATTATATTATTATTATTATTATTGCTATTGCTATTAACTCTTTCGAAGTGGATATTTAAACAAATTTGGATTTAAAAAATTGAAATGGTTTGGAGGAAGAGAGAGACAGAGAGAGAGAGGGAAAAGTTGTAGAAGAGAGTGAAGGAGGAGAGAGAGAGAAAAGGTACAGAAGAGGATGAAAGAAAGAGAGAGAGAGAAAACGACAATAAGGACCAAATCATTTCAAATGATTTTTCTCAAATTTTTTTTTTTTTTTTTCACTCTCTGTAAAATGTAAATCGACCATGATAAAAATGCGGGAAAGATGATAAAAATTGAATTATTTCCGGTTTGTTTTTTTTTTTTTTTTTTTTCGTTTCTTATTCAACAACCGAAAAAGTGAGGAAATCAAATGCGTAGATGTGTAAGAGAGAGAGAGAGAGAAAAAAAAATTTAAATGATAAACTTATAAAAGGAAGAAAAATCTCCAAAACGGGGAAGGAAGGAGGAGGGGGTGGGTGGGTTTGAATAATAATTTAATTTATTTGCGGCGTCGAACAACCGACAACAGAATTGAAATAAAAAAAAAAAAAAACAAATTTATTTATTAATTTGAATTCGTTCAAGGTCTTCCCCCCCTCTCTCTCTCTCTCTCTCTCTCTCACTCTTTTTCACCTTTCAGGTGAATATCATTAAAAAAACTGTTTGTTTGTCGAAAACAAACGTCAAACGTTAAAGATTAACATTCAATCAAACGATAGAAAAAAAAAAAAAAATTTTAGCAAAAAAATCATGAAACAAACGATTGAGAAGAAATCAAAGAAACCGACAAAGTTTTTATCTATTTATGTACTTATTTATGTATTTATGTATTTATTTATTGATTGTTTTTGTTTTTTTTTCTTTCAAACAGTTCATGGAAATCGTGGATGATACCAATCAGCTTGGCAGTACTTGCAACAATCATCTACAGATTTTATTTTCACGGTCATTAATTTTGACGATTTAGATTTGGGGAGAGAGAGCGAGAGAGAGCGAGAAAGAGAAAGAGAGAGAAAGAGAGAGAAGAGCATTTAATAAATAAAATTTTTAATTGAGTATATACATGTGTGTATATATATATATATATATATATATATAAATATTATGGGAATCCGTATATTCGCGTTCCTTTTTTTGGCAATGCAATTTATTTGGCCTAAACTTATCTGCAGTGACATGAAAGTAAACGACATAACAAAATCCCCAACGTAAAATCCATACGAAACAAACACAAAAACACAGAAACGAAACGAAACAAACAAACACAAACACAGAAACGAAACAAACGAACAATCATATTTAAAAAACATGACGAAAAATCCAATTAATAATAATAATAATAGATAGACTCGCGGGAAGAGGCAGGGAGAAGAAGAGGGGGCGGGGTGGAAATCAATAGCAATTTTTTTTTTTTTTTTTTTTTCCCCTACAGTTTTTCATACAGTAATTAATAATAATAATAATAATAATAATAATAATAATTTTTTTCCAATTCTAATCTCGCATAATAAAAATAGTAAAAAGCAATTTAATATTATTATTATTATATATATACATACGTAAGTGTTTTTATTGTTTTCTTTTTTCTTTTTTAAATTGAATTTTATTATTATCGAATCGAATCGAAAAAAAAAAAAATAAATAAATATTGATGTAAATCAAAAAAAAAAAAAATATATGTAATATGTTAATAAATAAATAAATAAATAAATAAAAATATTTTTCATTGTAATTTTTTTTTTAAATTAAATTTAAATTTAAATGCGCAAAACATATCATATGACTCGAATGAAATATTAATATATAATATATATTATATATACATATATATATATATAGATGTAGTAGTAGAATGGTACATTATGTTATGAATTATGCATATTATTATTATTATTATTATTATTTTTTTTTTTCTTTTATGAAACGTTATTTTTATTTTTAAAAAATAGCAGAGTGCGTACTTATTTATAAATTTTCAAAGGGAATTCATATTTAAATAAATAAGTAATAATTGTAAAAAATAAAAAACTTGTTTTTAAAATTGTGAATGTCAGGGAATAAAATGTATAATAATAGATAAAGAAAGAGTTTTTTTTTAAATATTATTCATTCTACTCACGTGTTTTATTTTTTTGTAAATCTATCCAATACGGAAGCGGAAACTGATAATTTTTTTGTTTTTTCCGGTTTTTCCGGCGAATCTTCTCCTTTTAATTTTTTCATTTCTTTTACATAAGTCTAAAATAAAATTAAATAAAAAATTAATTATATTGGATAATTAAAAAAAAATTTTTTTCCTTTTTTTTTTTAAAATGAAAAATGATTTATTTACCCTTCTGTATTCTTCTTTCATAATTTTTTTCCTTTGTGCAATTTTTACCGAACCTGCATTTCTCCCCGTTTTTTTCTTAGGCGTTATTTTTATGCTAGGAGCTTTTATATCCTAAATTTAAAAAATTTTAAATAGAAATTAAAGGTTAAAAAAAAAAAAAAAGAATGATGGACACCTTGTGACAAAATAAATTTACCGTTAGCTGTTTTTGGGCATCGATTATTTCTTCTTTGGTAGGAAGGTCAACTTTTAATAATTCATTAGCATCCCAAGTGATAAGATCAGCCGGAATCTAAAACCAAAAAAAAATTTTGTTTAAAAATTCAAAACGCATAATACGTTTATTTAAATTACCTTCGACAAAAGAGCTTTAACTTCGGCTTCTTTTCTCTGTGATTTAGTTTGAAATGGATTCGATTCTAAAGCATCATAGTTTGGTTCACCGCATCCAGGTACTAACATACTGGAAAATCCACCTGAATGAGCGATACCTAAAATATCTTCATAAGGACAAAATTCTATATTACGAATCATGTTGGAAACATTGTGTCTTAAATAAATTTGAGTTTCAGCCTCATCCTTAGTGCAATTATTTTTGTAAACTTCGATTAAATTATCCATAGCATAAGCCACAACTCCTTTATGACTTATCGAAATGCTTCTAGGAGGATGTCTTTGTCTATAATATTGAATTGGTCCATTTAAATTTCTAGCATCCCATAATTTAACAGTGCTATCTAGTGCAGATGTCATAAAATATCTGTAAAAAAAAAAAAAATCGATAAATTTCTGATAATATTTTTATATGAACATGACTAACACTAATGAATACTTACAAGCCTCTAGGATCAAAAGCAACAGAAGATATTGGCCTTTTATGACACAATTTTGAAATAGCTGGTTTTTTACTGTTTGGTCCCCAAAAATTAACAACCCCATTCGATTCTCCAATGCAAATCATTGCATTACCAGGATGAAGAGCAACTGTAGAAGAATTACCTCTATTGTTTGTGTACAATTGTTGAACTATTTTACCAACTGATACATCTAACCAAGTGACAAAACCTTTGGTACTCTGTAATTTTTATATTTATAAAAATAAAAATATTGATATTTAATATCAGTTTTTAAAAAATTTTTCTCGAATTTTAATTACCACAGATGTTAAAAGAAAATGATATGGTAAAAATAGTAGCCTGTAAACATCAGCCATTTGCTTCATACAATGTATTTCAATTCCTTGATTATCATAAATGTAAACCCATTTTTTTTGAGCGACGGCAAACATTGTCTCCTGGTGAAGCCACGATATGTCGAATGTTTCTTCCATGACATTCATTTCACAAAATAATCTTTTTCTAACCCAATCTATGGCTGCAACATGTCCTCTTTTACCACCAAGCAATAAATATCGTCCGTTTTTGGAATAATTCATTCGATATGGTCCAAAATCTAAATGTAAATCAAAACATTTTGAAGCGCTTAGAGGATCGACTGAATTTTTAATAACTTTTTGTGTAAATTGAGTAGTGACTTCATCGTCATCAGGAATTAAATATCCACTATCTTCGGTTAATAAATTTTCAGATTTAACAGCCTGATTTAATCCATATTTAATTTTTTTTTCACGTTTAGAAATTTTTGATTTCTCCACCTTCGTTATAACTTCTTTAACATTAGTGGGCTTTCCTCTATCATATTTCTTCAATTTTAATTTGTCAACTTTTAAATACTCCTTATCATTATCTGATTTAAATTTTTTTTTCTTTATTAAATTACTTTTAAGTGATTTATTTTGCTTGCTTTTCAAAGTTCCATCATACTTTTGAAAACGTTTCGCTTTAATTTTATTTCGTATTTTTTTCCTATTTCCTACGTTGGTTTCTTCTTTTTCACTAGTGACTTTAATAAAGTCATTATTACTTGTCGTTAAGTCTGTGTTCATATTGAAATTTTTACAAACTATTAAATGAAAATTTTAAAAATAACGACTATTTATATGCACATCGTATTGAAGTGAAAACCACATGTTAAAAATTTCTTACTCTAGGAGAATTTCAGAAAGCCAACCTAAAACGAAAAAAAAAAAATTTAGAGGTTAATTAAAAAATTTAAATAAAGAAAAAAAAACATTTCATTTTTAAATTTAACATTATTGTCCATTATTTTTACTAAAAAAAAAAGACTTTTAATTAAATCTATTTGTTAAATTAAAATAAAATTTTAAATTTGAATAAAAAAAAGTTGTTAAAAACATGAAATTATATTCAAGTTAAGAAAATTATTTAAAAACTTATTTTTAAAAAATAATTGTTAAGGTTCTATAAATAAAATTTGTTTTTATAATTTAAAAAAAAAAAACTTATTGTTAATATAAGTTTACATATTAATATTTATTCAAAAAAAAACTTGCTAATCCTCTTCCTTTAAAAACCTTAAAGTGTTTTTTATTTCGTGGCATTAGACTCAAAGACTTAATTTACGATATATTGTGAAAGAATAATATTTGAATAAACTTAATTGCAACATCGAGGTAAAGTATAAAAAAACATTTAAAAATTTTTAATTATTAATTATCTTATGTTTGTTAGTTAAGAATACATAGTTACATATTATTATTTAGTTCAAGTTCTCTTGTTTTTTTTCTTTTTGTTTACAAAATACAAATATCTGATAAGTTAAATGTTGTTATGGCTAGCATGTTATGTCATTCAATTTTACACAATTTATTTGTTTTTTAGATGTTAGAAGTTACTTGTAATGATAGGTTGGGAAAAAAGGTTAGAGTCAAATGCAATCCTGACGACACAATTGGCGACCTTAAAAAGTTAATAGCTGCACAAACAGGAACTAGATGGGATAAAATTGTCCTTAAAAAATGGTACACCATATTCAAAGATCACATAAAATTAGTTGATTGTATCCTTTTGTCATAATTTCATGCATTCAGATTATGTTTGTCCTAAAGTTTATAAATATTTCTAAATTAAATTAAACTAAAACATTTTTAAAATCAATTCTACAAAACCGTTTACAATAATTAATAATCCAAAATATAACAAAACAAAAAATAAAAATAAAAACTTACAATAATAATGTAGAGAAATTAATTATTATTTCAAGTTCATTAAAAAAATAATAAATTATTCAATTACTCTAAGTAACCAATACATACATTAATAATTAATTTGATTTTAAAAAGATTTTCATATATTCCACACACATGATAAATTTTAAAGTTTTGTACGATAGAATTTTAAATAGGATTATTAAAAAATTTTACAATTTGTACAGGTACTGAAATACAAATTATATGTATATAAATATAGCTGCTGCACACTTTTATAATTGACAAAAAGAAAAAAATTTATCTGTACCTGAAAAAAGAAAAATAATAATAATAATCGAATATCATATGAATATTTACAAAACGACTTATTATCTATTATAATAAATTGTGCATTAAAAAAAATTTATTTACATAAAATATATTTCTTAATTTTATTTTTTTATTTATTACTCAGATGAAATTCATGATGGAATGAATTTAGAATTATATTATCAGTAAAAAAAAAAAAAAAAAATGAACATTTAAATTATAATTTAATTAATTAATTAACAGAATCAGATCTTTCAATTTTTTTTTTTTTTAAATATACTTTTATCGAGTTTAATATAATTTTTTCCACATGTTCAATTCAAAAAGAAAAAGATTTATATGGTTAAGTTAATTCCAGCTCCAGATTATAAACATTAAAATAATTTTTGTTTTTAATTTTAATTTTTTTTTTTTCTTCAATTATAAAAAACAATTTAATTATATTAAAATTATATTAATTGAAAAAAAAAAAAATCATCATTTTTGGCTTTTTTTTTTTTAAATAATAATAATAATAATAAAAATAAAATTTTTTTAACATTTTAAATTTGTTTTTATATTTCCTCAAAGTTTTCATTTTACCATTTAAAGAAAATTCCAAAAAAAAATTAATATTAATAATAATAATAATAAAATAAAAATACAAAATAATTTAAGTTCGTTATAAAAAAAAAAAAAAAATTTTAACAAATGCACAATTATTTAAATAATAAGTAATACTAAAAAAAAAAAAAAAAAAAATTACAAAAAAAAATTCATCCATAACACAACATACATATATATATATAAATAAAAACTAAACCAAATTTTTTTTTTGTGTTTTTTTTTTTTTTATCATTATTATTATTATTTTTATGTATAATTAAATAAATATTTTCGTTTCGTATGTTGTTAATTTTTAATGAGGTCTAGAAAAACAAACTCCATCAAATGTGTTGTTTCTACGAAATCCTTGAACTGGAGAAGGTGCTGGAGATAATGGCATTGGCATCTCAAATACTTTTTTATTTCTATTATTCAAGAAGTCCCTTATATGTTGAACAATTAGATCAATCGCAACTGGAATTATAAATTTATATAACGACTTTATTATTTAACAAAAAAAAAAAAAAATGAATGACCATCGATAATAATAATAATTATAATAATTAATTAAAACTCGAAATGTATATTTTTTTTTTTTTTTTAGAAGGCCACCGAGTGAGCTTTTTTTTTTTTTTTTATTATTATTAATTTTCTTTCTTTAATAATAATAATAATAATATATATTCAATCGAGTATTTTTTATAAATAAAAATTCAAAATAATTAATAATTAAACTTATTTTATTTAAACAAAAAAAATTTTATTCATCAATAACAAATTAATAAAAAAATGATAACTACTTGTAAATGTCATTAATTAATCAATCATATCCCTATTTAAAAAAAAAAAATTATTAATAATAATATGATAAAAAACCACCAATCATATTACACCATATTCCAGAAAGTGATTCAATGAATAATAATAATAATAATAATAATATAATAATGAACAACATGTACGAAAATTAAAATTACAAAAAAAAAATTAAATATTATACGATTATTAATATAAATGAATCAAATTTATTAATAAAAAAAATTATTACACACCGGAAATTAAATTTATTTAATTATAGAGAGAGGGGGAATTATACACCCTCTCTCCCCCATCATATCCTCCCCAAATATATCAAAATTCATTTCGTTCTATTATTATTTATTTTATTTTTTTTTTTTTCTGTCTTTCCATTTTTTTTTTTTTTGATTTCAAAATTTATTTTTATATTTAAATAATTTTATTTATTAAAAAATGCATGAAAAAATTTAATTTAAATATACATACTTTAATTTTTATTAAATCTTAATAATAATAATAATAAAATTTATAATAATTTTTAATTTTTTTTTTTGAGCAATGAGAAAAAATTCTTTTTTACTTAAACGTATCAGTCAATATTTTCATTTTAAACTTTAGTCCCCCTCCCCCACACAAAAAAAGAAAAACTTAATTAATATTATTATTATTATGAATTTAAAAATTATGCGCATTTAATTAATCAGTAATAATAATAATAATAATAATAATTTTTTAAATTTTTTATTAATAATTATAGTATGAGATTCTATTTTACGTTTTAAAATTTTACGTTTTCTTATGAAATTTAATTTTTTTATTAAAAATTTTACGATACAAAAAAATTTCTTCTTCTTTTTCAGTCTTTTTTGATTTGTTTTTCCTCTACTAAATTTTTAAAAAAAAAAATTTTTTAAATGCTTTTTTACTAAGTTTGATTTCTTAAAACTAAAATTTCTCCTTCCCCTCCTCCTTCTTCTAATTATTAATAAAAAAACAATTTTTTAACACAAAAAGTTTTCTGTTTTTTTTTTTTTTTTTTTTTATTTGACAAATTTTATTTTATTTTGTCGCAAAAAATACTCCTCCCCTCCCCCTAATCCCTATAATAAATCCCTATAGATAAAATGTCAATCAATGTGAATAATGAATGTTGTCAATAATAATGATAATAATTTTTTTTTTCTTTTTCTTTTTAATCAACGTTATTTTAAATATATATATATATTTAAGCCATTTAATTTTTATCGAGTCATCGGCATTAAATTTGATTTGTTCCTGTAGGTGCAACGATGATTTCTGGAATGAAGAATCTTCCCTATCCGGTCGATGATGAGATTAATTGCAACTAAACAAAAATACATTAGGAGGCTAATGGTTTGCGGAAAGAGAAAGAGATAGAAAACAAAACAAAAAAAAAAAGAAAGAAAGAAATATACAAGTGTGTATGTGTGTGAGAGAGAGAGAGAGAGAGAGAGAGCATACACTTGATTTTTTTTTTTTTTTTTTCTTTGTTATAAACATTTTCTTCCCGCTTAATAAAAATGAGTAAACATAAACAAAAGATTCTTACGTTAAACAATAATAATAATAATAATGATAATAATAATAATGACAATAACAAATAAAACAAATTATTATTATTGAAAGATAATGAAGATGTACAAAAAAAATTGACCAAAAGCATTTTTTTTTTTTTTTTTTTTTTTTAATTATTGCCAATGATATACGTATAGAATGTTCTACAGAACAAAAACAAAACAATCATTCGAGTGTTTTTGAATTTAAAAAAAACCATAACATTCCATTTTGTATTTAAATAAATGCAAGTAGTTAATTAAAAAAAAAAAAAAAAAGAAAATGATTGGTTAGTTATTGCAAATATGTATTAGTATATGTAAGAGAATGAAATCGATTAAAATTTTTTTTTTTTCTTTCTTTCACCCGAGTGAAAACAACATATGAAGAAAATAAAATAAAAAATAAATAATGAGTACAAAAATTTTATCTTCACTCACCCCAAATATTATTTCCAAAATTATTCGAGTGTGTACATTAAAAATAAAAATAAAAAAAAAATATACTCTCCGATACACAATTTATATAAATAACTGAAATCGAATACTGATTCATAACATTATTCATTGAATTAAATGATACATCATCATATAAAACATAATTGTTTGTAACTTAATGATAAAAGAGTAATTTTCATAAAATTTTATGTTTTATACTTTTTTTTTTTAAAGAAAAATTTTCAAATTTCATTCGCAATCAATATCGAGATACAATATAAATAAATTTTTTTTTTTTTTTTAAATTAAAAAATCAACTGTCCCTTTTAATCTTAATTAAATCTTTTCAATATTTACATTAATAAGTACAAATTAAAACTTATAATGAATAATTTTAAGCGATTAAGTTATTGGAAAAAAAAAAAAAAGTAATAAACTTAAAATTAAAATCATTGCTATTATTAATAAACAAAGAGTCAACCATTTTGACATTGCATCAAATCGAAATAATTATACTCGTAGTTGATATTTAACATCATTAATAAGTAAAAATCTTTTAGGGGGGAGGGGGAGAAACACCAAAAAGCTACATATTTGAGAAACCAAGTAAAAAATATAAAATTCATGCTAAAAAACCTTTGACAGGTACACAAGATTTGCAATAATAATTGCTTGTTAGTATTACAAGAGAATCCATAAAAGAAACTTAATTTTTATATAGAGAATTAATATGAGAAGTTAAAACTCGCAAACTAAAGTTTAAATAATTTTTACAATTATTTCCATATAACAAAACTTTTTAGTAATTATAATAAGGATTGAATTTGCTGTATTATAATAAACAGATTTCAAAAATTAATAAATTTATCATAAAGCTTACAGAAAAACAAGAATTAAACCATTTGCTCTTGGCAAATTACTTAAAGTTTGCCCTTATAGAAAAAAAAAAAATTATAAATAACAAAAAATAATCAAGCAGAAAAATTGAACAAGCTAAATTAAAAATGACCAAAATTTTTTTTTAAAAATTTAAAATGAAATAAATACCATTTTAATCAGTGGAAGCGAATAAATAAAATTATTTAAAAGAAAAATTAAAAGTATTACTGTTAAGACATAATAATTATTAAATTAAATGTAATTTACCTGTGTTGTCAGCTCCCCTTGGAATAATAATATCTGCAAATTTTTTCGTCTGAAATGAAAAAAAAAAATTTTTTTTTTTTGTTTTTTAATATTTATTTTGTAGCACAATTACTAAAATTATAAATAATGAAAATACTCACAGGCATACAGAAATCTTCGAAAGCTGGCTTAACAAAATTCATGTATTGACTTAATACTTGATCTAAATTTCTACCTCTTTCTTTAATATCTCTAGGAACTGGAAAAAAAATAAAAATTGTTTTATAAATAAATAAGTTTCAAGTTCATTACATGCCTGCAGTTTAATTTACCTCTTCTGGCTAATCTGGTATCTGAATCAGTGTCGACAAACAATTTCATGTGAAATAATTCTCTAACTTCAGGAAAATAAAAAACTAATATTCCTTCAAACAACACAACATCAGCAGGGTAAATTGTTGTAAATAGATTTTCAGATCTGAAAACATAAAAAAATTTTTTTTTTTTTTTTTTACAAAGGCATTTTTATAAATTTTTAAACTGATATGCAATTCCTTTTGATAACTTGCCTTGAGTTTGTTGCATAATTGTATACAGGAATTAGACATTTTTTACCAGCTAGAATATCTTTCATGGTTTTTAATATTAATACGTCATCAAATGCATCAGGGTGATCAAAATTAAAACAGCCTTTATTAGCTTTCTCTTTTTCAGGAGGTGTCAATCTTCTATAGAAGCAATCTTGACTAATTGTGACAACTCGTCTTTGTGTGTGGTCCATGTCTGCTTGTCCAAGTTTTTCAATTATTTTTTTACAAACGGTCGACTAATAAAAAAATTAATTATTACTTATATATTAAAAAAAAAAAAATTTTCTTCATTTAAATAAACAATCGAATTTAATAAAAAAAAAAATTAAAGAAGAATAAATGCAAGCAGGAACCACATTTTTTTTTTAATACCATCTTGAAATGGTTTCAACAGAAAATTAAAAAGTTAATGTTCGGGAAATAGACAATAATTTATTTTTTAATAAAGGAAAGAAAATTAATCAGGTTTAATATTAATGATAATTTTTTCTTTAAAAAAAAAAAAAAAAAAAAAAAAAAAGAAAAACGTCAAATAACATCATACTTTTCCACTCGCAGTTCCTCCGCCTACCCCTATAAGAAAAGGAGTTTTTCCTTCACCATTAATACACATATTTCCGTTTTGTTTTTCAGCAGGAATACACGTTGAAGTTTCGATTTCTTCCATAATTAATAAATTGACTTTGTTTCATTCGTAAAACACAAATTAAATAACTAATAAAAGTGACTTGTTTATTAAAAAACATGCATCCTCATAAAAAAACAAAAAAAAACAATTTCATAGAGTAAAAAACTTTTCACGTCGTCACGAAAACTCTAAGGAATTAATTTTTGAATGGTATCATTGTCGAGACCTTATAACTATTTATAAACTTTTTATAATTTTCGTTATTACTATTATTATTTTAATTTTTTTTTATTTTTATAAATGCGTATTAATAAATCATCCTATGTAATAAATAAAATATCCTATTAGCTAAAATGAATATGATCAGTTTTTAAACAAAAAAAAAAAATTACGAAGCCAATAATTAAGTATAATGTAGCAGACAATATTAGCGAAATATGGCACCTACTTGCTATAATGTTTGTTTTTTTTTTTTTTTTTTCTTTTTCTTTTTTTACATCTCAGTGAGTTTGTTTTACGGAATTAAATAATAATATATCGATTTGATTATTCCAAATGATATTTTCAATAATAAAAAATTTTTTACGAGTTTATAAAAATATTAAAATTATAATTAAATTAAAAGTATGAGTTCCATTTTCCACAACAGAAATTTTGCATTAGTTGGAGGATTAGATGAACATATACAAACATTGAAAGAAATGCTTATATATCCCCTTTTATATAGAGAATTATTTGATTCGTTTGGAGTTCAGGCTCCTCGTGGTGTATTATTTTACGGTCCACCAGGTACAGGTAAAACATTAATGGCTGGAGCAGTTGCTGCGGAATGTAGTAAATGCTGCAGCAGAAAAGTTTCTTTTTACATGAGAAAAGGTGGAGAATGTTTAAATAAATATGTCGGAGAATCGGAAAAACACCTTCAAAACCTTTTCACCCAGGTTTTTATTATTATTTAATTTGAAAAAAATTAACAAGATATATAAATTAATTGATAGCATTTATAACAATTTTAAAATAATATTTTAGGCTTACAGTACTCGGCCCTCGATTATTTTTTTTGATGAAATTGACGGTTTGGTACCAACGCGTTCAGAACTACAAGAACAAGTACATGCTAGTGTGGTCAGCACACTTTTAGGATTAATGGACGGTTTGGATTCAAAATCTGAAGTATTTGTTATTGGTGCCACAAATAGAATAGACATGATAGATCCAGCTTTAAGAAGGCCCGGTAGATTTGATAGAGAATTATATTTTCCTTTACCCCCCTTAGAAGTTTGTACCATACAAAATGACTGTCAAGTTACTCTCTTGCATAAGAGAGGAAATGGAAAACCGTTAAAATACTTTATTTTTAATTTTAGTCAAGGTTTGAAATATTTAGAATACATACATATCAGTGGAAAAATAAACCGAGCGAATCATTATTATTAAAATTGGCGGCGGAATGTTCTGGATATTGCGGTGCAGATATTCAATCTCTATGTTCTCAAGCCGTCATGCAAAGTTTCAATCGTAATTTTCCACAAGCGTTAGACACGACAAGAAAACATCTCGTATCTCTTAAAAATGTTACCGTGAGTCAATTTGACGAATCGACAACAAAAATGGGGGGGGGAGGGGGAAAGCATTAAAATTTTATGTGAATTCTTTGTAAGTTTTTAGGTAAAAGATGAAGATTTTTGGGACGCAAAAGAAAAAATCGTACCTGCAAGTCAAAGAATATACATTTTACCATCGAGGCCTCTTAGTTCTGACATAGAACCGTTACTTAAAAGAAGTTTAAACGAATGCATTAACGAAATTAATAAATCCTGTCCGTTTAGTTTCATGTATAGAAACGGAGGGTAACGTTTTTTCCTTTTTTTCTCATTTAAATAATTAAGTTCTTAAAATTAAACCACCCCCCTAAGAAACGTTTTTTTTTTTTAAATTTTCCAGTGAGCCGAAAAAAAACAAAAGCATGAGTTGTCCGAGATTTCTTTTATTGGGAGAAGAAGCACATATTTCACACGTGGCTCCAGCCATATTACAATTTTTCGATCATCTTCCGACAATAGTTATGGATTTGGCAAGCATAAATAACGATCCGAATAGATTTTCCGATTCTAGTTCGTTGGTACATAAAATAGAAGAAGCACGACAAAGCATGCCAAGTATAATTTACCTTAGAAATATAAATTCCTGGTGGAATTTAATTGACGAATCTGCAAAACAAGTTTTAATATTGTCTTTTGAAAGTCTCGACATGTCGAGAAACACACAAATATTCATTTTCGGAACGGCATCTTGTGCATATAACGACCTCTCACCGGAAGTAAGAACGTCATCCATGATTTTTTCCATTCATTTCCTGTAAATAAATAAAATAAAATAAAATATTTCAGATTAGAAAAATATTTTCGAGTAAAAAATGTTACGAAGTTACCGAACCACAAACGGAAGAAAGGAAAAAATTTTTTCGACAAGTTTTAGTTGATAAAAATTTACTTCCGCCACGAAATTCAGAAGGTTTTTTATTATTTATCATTTTCTTTTCTTTTCTTTTTTTTAACGGACATTTTGAAAAAATATAAATAATAATAATAATATTTAAACGTTTTGTTTAAAGAATCTATGGTTCAACCGTCAAATTCGTCAAACGTATCAACGACGTCGAACAAAAGAAAATATTTTGTCGCAGGTTTGCAAAAATTGAAATTTTTTAATCTTACGACGACACGAATAAAAAATTTATTTATTTATTTATTTTTTATTTTATTTTTAGAAAACGAAGACGAACCTGCGATTTCGTTAAATCAAAAAATAAAAAACGTTAATTATAAAAATTTTGAATTGTTTAAAGGTGGAAGGTTAAGAAGTGGGAAAAATTTTAGAGATTCAAATAACGCATTGACGACAATAAATAAAAAAATAAAATTAGAAATTCAAAATAAACAAAATTGTTCATTAAACGGTTTGAATATTAGCAAAATAATGACGATTTCGATATCAAAAAAAAAAAAAAAAAATCGATAAATAATTCACCTTTTTTTTTTGTAATTTTTGTTCAGACATACTTCCGGGGAAAAATACGGAAACTAAAGATGTTATTGTCGATGTTAAAAAATTAGAAAAATTAATTGAATCCGCGGTTAAAGTAACAGCAAATTCAAATGTTAAATCAATGGTTAAATTATATGAAGAATTGGAAATTGTTTCTTTACGTTATTCTACAAAGTTAGATAGGACGACGTTACCGGAAGTAATTCCGACTTCATTTTCCCATTTCATTTGTTATTGACATCTAAGACGATGATAATAATAGTTTTTTTATTTACGTTTAGGAATTAGAAAGAGAAATTATTATATTTAATCCGACTTAGAAAAAAAAGAAGAAACAAAAGAAAAATTATTATTATAAATGTTTATTATATACGATGATGAAGAAAATGATTTCATAAATTGATTTATATAAAATTATTAATCGATTTTAAAAAATTTTAACTTTCAACTTCGTATCTTATGAAATTTATGATGGAAACTCATAAAATAAAAATTTCAATTTAATTAACGAACAAAAAAAAAGTCGACACTTCAAACCGGAAACAAGCAAACGTGATTTTTTTTCGCATTGTAAAACCAATCGAACGGAAATTTTTTTGTAAAAAATAATAATAATAATTATTATTATAATGATTATATTATAATTTTTTCCCGCGACTAAATCTCAGATGTTTAAAAAAAAAAAAAAAAAAGTTTTCCATTTTGAAAATTATTAAAAAAATCCTATAATAATTTTAATAACCTTTTTTCTTTTCTTTTATTGTAAAAATGTATCATTGGAGTATTTGAAATACGGAAAACTACCATTATCATTATTATTATTATTATTATTATTATTATTATTATTGTTTAATTTTACGCAAACGCAATTTTTTTTGTTAAATTTTGTTTTTTTATTTTTTATTTTTACATTGAATTTTTTTAATAAAACGCCTTAAAATTTTTGTTTAGACTTTTTGTCAACCTTTCAAGCGCTTAAGTTTGCATAAATTAAAATTGTCTTTTTTCCCCTCATTAATCTTATCAAAAACTTATAAGAGCATTGATGCAATGTTAATATTTGAAAGGGATAATGATAATAGTCCAATGAGATTTTTGTATTAAGGCTACGAAAATACACGGGCGATTATTTTAAAAAAAACTGAATCTGAAAATTAATCTTGATTCGATTAACCAAATTTAAAAAAAATTAAAAAAATAAATACAAATGTAATATACATTTATTTTAAAACGTTTGTTCGGTGTATTTTTTTTTTTAATTACACACGTAAGAACATTAGGTGATTGCCATAAGCTTCATAAGCTACAACTAATAACAATTAACTGGTATCCTATATAATCTTATAATTATTAATACAATATATGTAATTTTTTTCTTTTTTTTTTTATTTTAAACAAGCATGTATCGAGTTTATAAGTAAATAATTGTAAACATATCAAAATTGTTGTTACGGTTTACACGAATAAAAATTTAAATAATTACAACGCGTTTAATATTAAGAAAAAAAAAAAAAAGTTGGGAAAAAACAAAAAAAAATGAAAGTAAAAAAGAAAGAAAATTATTTAACTGATAAACGACGTTAAAAACAACAACAACAACTCTGATAAGAATTTGTGGTATTTTTGATAAGTGTAAAAAGCGAACGATGAAACGATTGAGAAAAAACAAAGAATTTTTGTTTGTTTGTTTGCTTGTTTTTTTTTTTTACTTTCGCGCGAATACATATTTTTTAAATTGCACTATTTCTCTTTATTGTTTATCCTCCATCACTGTCATTGTACAGAACAAAAAAAAAAGAAAAAAATTACTTAAAAGTTTCTGGAAAACAAAAAGAATTTTCCCGGAGACAGAAAAAAATAAAAAAAAGGTTGGCACCAACTTTGTTGTATTGCACGTAACTGTTGTGTTATTTTCTTCAGAATACAGTTGGACGTAAGCGAACGCCTGTTCGCTTTTTTTTTTTTTTATATATATATCCACTGTTGAGAAATGAGAGAAAAAAAATTAATTAATTAAAAATGATTTGTTTTGTTTTTCGTTGGAAAAAAAAAAAAATGTTCAAAAATCGTATGAATTTGCTTCGTCTTCTTTTCGAACTCTAAAAAGGAGCCTATAAACGACTCCGGCGAGTATGGCTCCGCAAATCGGACCTGCCCAATACACCCAATGATTTTCCCAAGAACCTATGACGACGGCAGGTCCGAAAGTTCTTGCCGGATTCATGCTGGCACCCGTGTATTTTATCTGAAAAACCAATCGAGAGAAAAATAAAAATTTTCTTCTGGAGAAGAAAAAACATTTACGGAATGAATACTACCGCAGCGAGGTGACACAAAGCGACGGTTAAACCGATGGCAAGAGGTACGGATCCTTTTATGTCGGTCCTTTTTTCGTCACAAACCGATTGTACGACGAGCACTAATACAAAAGTTATCAAAGCCTCGACGAGCATCCCTTCGACGGGACTTATGAGTTCGTTAACGGTCGTCAAACCGAGAGAACCCGCAGTTTCCGTCGGTGTTATGATCTGACGAAAGCATAAAAATTTAATTAAAATTATTATCATTATTATCATCGGATGGCGATCATTTGAACCGCTAAAAGAAAAAGACAAGTCGTACCTTGAGTATGAAAGATCCGCAAACGGCGCCAACACATTGTACGACGACGTAAAATATTCCTTTTAATGCACTGACGTCGCCCGTTATGAAAAGGCCGCAGGTAACCGCCGGATTTATGTGGCATCCGCTCACGTGACCGATCGCCTGTCAAAGGAAAAAAATTTTTTTGGAATCTCCGGTTTTATTATTATTATTTTTTTTAAAAATATTAATAACTTAATTAATTCGTGTCGAGTCTACTACATGTTACATCATTTAACCTTAACGAGAGAAAAAAAAGAGAGAGAGAGAGTGAGAGAGAAAGAGAGAGAGAAACGAAAGTTGAAAAAAAAATATTCAAACGGTGGCGGCGGTGGGATTTCCGGTGTCAAAAATTCGTTAAATCGAGTTCAAGGAATTTTTAAAAAACATTCCACCAAAAATAACATTTATTAACAAAGGTAAATTTATGATAATTTTAAAAGGCGGTGACTTTTTGTAAAAACGCGGGAGGAAAAAGAAGGAGAAAGAAAGAAAGAAAAATTTCTAGAAGGTGTTTGCCGTTAACGAAACCAAATTTATTTTTATTAAATGAATTCGAAACAAACGAATTTAAATAATGAAAAAAATGATTTTAATTAAAAAAAAATTTTTTTCATTTACCAAAAAAGAAGAAGAAGAAGACAAAGAAAGGAATACCAAAGAAAGAAAGAAAGAAAAGAAAAATGAAAAGCAGTTCGCGGCCGTGACAGATTCGCGCGTGACGGTTTTTTTTTTTTACCATAAAAATAATAATAATTTAAAACCCCGAAATTAAAATTTTTTTTTTCTTTTTTTTTTCTCCAAAAAAAATTTCAAATTGATATCGTAATTAATTTGCCCTTTTTGAAACATTATTATCATCATTATTATTATTATTTTTCCGCTCTCACAGGTGCGCAAAAGTAAAAAAAAAAGGAATTTTCCTCTTTTCTTTCTCTCTCTCTTATAAGGTCTTATACAATTTACGTATTCAAAAGTTCATGAACGCGTTCTATTAAAAAAAAATATCACGTGACTAAAACAAAAAAAGGAAAATCGTTGAAAAGGAAAATCAAAGGAATTAAGAAAATGTAAATTTAAACAGAGTTTGGAAGCGTTCGGGGTATTTTGAAATAACGCGTTAGAAAATTTAATGAACGACGATAGCAGACGACAGGTATCAGTGTTGGAAAAACTATGACGTCATAATTTTCATTTAAACGGATGCGAACGCTACCGAATTTCTTTTTACGTTTAATTTGTTTCCACTCTTTCATTTTTCTAATTTTTTTTTTTTTTTTCCTTTACATGTTGATCTATTACCTCGCTCTCTCTCACGCCCGCCCGCTCCCACACACGCACGCACAAACAAAGGAAAAAAAGAAAACCTTTGAAAATATTAAACGTGATGACAAATAAATAATAATAATTATAATTTCATCATTGAAATTTTTTTTTTTAAATCCGTTTTCTGACCTCGATTCATTTTTTTTTTTTTTTGTAAACGATCGAACGTTCGGAAAATTATTTCTTTTCTTTTCTTTTTCCTCTCTTCTTTTCCTTTATAAATCGAATTGAAAACAAAAAATGTAATAAAGTGGTAGAAAAAAAAAAAAAAGTGTCGGACGTCTTCTAGCTAATCTGTAATTACACGTTAAAAAAAAAAATCGGCACGACTTTACATTCAATTTATGACCTATAATAAATTATCCATTTAGAACAGGTTGGAAGGAAAAAAAACTCAAAACTGAACGTGCGAAACTATCCGCAAATTTACGAGAGAGAGAGAGAGAGAGAGAGGGAGAGAGGAGAGATAAGAGGGGAAAAAAAATAATAAAAGAAAAAAAAGAGAAGAGAAAAACGTGTTTTCGAAAGGAAAATTTTACACAAATTTCCTTACATCGAATTGAAATTTCATCGGGATTACGATTACGTCACATCGACGTCACTCAATTATTAATTACGCGTCACGCGTTGCACCTTTCTCATGTTGCAAAATTTTTTTTTTTTTTTCTTTTTCCACCTGTTTTCTCAAACTTCTAGTAGAACAAATCATTTTTCTTTCTCTCTCTCTCTCTCTCTCTCTCTCTCTTTCTGAGCGCGGGGGGGGGGGGGGGATGAATTTTGTCAAAACGGAAACGAAAAAATTAATTCGAGTCGGAAAAAAATCAATGGCGGCAACCAAACGATCATTTTTTTTTTTTTGAGAGAGAGAGAGAGAGAGAGAGAGATAAAAACCTTGGTTGATTTGTTACTCAATATCAAACATATCTTAGCGGCATTTTACCGTAGAAAAATATACATTTGCAAAAAAAAAAACGGATTAAACTCGGTTGTTAATATGTACTTAATTAGAAGAAAATTGCCGGAGGAAAACGTGAGAAAACCCTATTTAAGGTAGTGCACCAGCTTACAATACGTTTTGCGTATAGAGTGAGAGAGAGAGAAAAAAAAAGTTCACGCCTTTGATAAAGTTACTCAATTATTACCAAACAACCGTACGCAAACCTAACCGTTTCAATGACAAACAAACGGAGACTGATAAGGTGGGAACCGGGGGGGGGAGGGAAGGGGGAGGGAAGGGAAGGAAGAATGTAGGGGGTAATTTTTTTCAAACGTTCGAACCGTACAAACAGGTGAAACGTTCGGTGATAAATTTCGGGCGTAAAAGAAAAAAAAAAAATGTAAACGTGTTTTTTTAACCGGTGTAAATTCCACCGTCGAAAAAAAATAAAAAAAAGCGTGGCACGAACGTACGTCGGTCGGGTCGTTAGACAGAAAGAGAGAGAGAGAAAGAGAAAAAAAAAATTAAATTAATTTTTTTATTTTTCGGGTGAGTTAAAAAAAAAAAGACGATATTTATTTTTCGTGATTTTAAAATTAATTTTCCAGCGCGAGGTACTTGTCCAGGTAGTTACGCCTTCGAGTTCCTTATTTACCGCCTCCAAATAATTTGTCTACGATTTATACAAACCTGCATCCACGTCTTTCTCATATTTCTTTCTTTTTTTTTAAATAGCCTTTAGTTACTATCGTGTTTAGTTGCTCAACGAATCGGACTTTTTTTTAAACAAACACGCGAGAATTTCATTTTTTTTATTTTAAATTTGGTTTTTCGTATAAAAAAAAAAAAAAAAATGGCGGTGGTGGTGGTGGTGAGAAAGTTTTAAAACGATTTGTTAAAATTTTTATGGCGGGGGATCTCGAAGGGAGGAGAAAGTGGAAAGAGAGAGAGAGAAGTTGGAAAACCGGTTCGATATATTTATATATATTCGATTCATTTTTATGAGTTTTTTTTTTTTTTCTTTCCCAAATAAATTATAAAATCTTGAGTAAGTTTAAAAATTTTAAACTTGCATTTCCGGTAATAATTTTACTCGTGAATTAAAAAAAAAAAACGGTTAATAAGAGAAGGAGGAAGAAGGGGGAGGAGAAAATATAAAAAAAATTAAAAAGAGTTTGCGAAAGGTGAAAAGCGTTATGAATCAAATATAAAAAAATAAAAAAAACAAAACTTGATTACACCATTTTAAATTTTTTACTTTACTAAAAAAAAACCGTTAATGAAAAAGCCGTTAAAAAAAATAAACGTGGAAGAAGAAAAAATTTACAATTTCAAATTTCCATCAATACTAACGAAATTTCTTTTTATTTTTCTGACAAAAAAAAGAAAAATTCAAAAATTCGTTAAAACGTTAAAAATTTCCATTGATAACAAACGATAAACAAACAAACAACTACAAACGATTTTCATTTAACCTCATCGTTAGTTAAAAAAAAAAACAAAATTTCTTTCATTAATAATAATAATAATAATTATTAATAACAAAAAAAAAAAAAAAAAAAAAAACAAAAACTCGAAAGTGGTGATAAGTCCTTGCAGCGAAAAAAAGTAATTTGATTAATTGTTACCATAATAATAATAATAATAATCATCATCGTCTTTATTATTATTATTATTACGAGACTTTTGAAATAATTTACTTATGAAAAAAAAAAAATTACACCGCGATGAATCGTTACTTTTTTTTTTTTTTTAAATACGTACAAGACCTTTGACCTGAGAAACTTTGCTACATTTAAATTTACTTTTATTGTTTTTCGATCAACGTTTACGTAATCGTTCGTCTGCGTCAAAAACATTTTAAATTCAACAACAACAACAACAAACGGCGGGTTTTTTTTTTTCTTTTCATTCACAAAATATAGGATGATTTAAATATGAAGATGATGAAGAAGAAGAAGAAGAAAAAGCCGAATTAGGAAACTTTGATTTCGATATTTACTTTTTTCTTTTTTAAATAAATAAATAAATAAATAAACCTCGCCTTGAAATAAGGCACACATTTCGAGATGATGTATGATAAACACGGGGAGGAAAAAATAGAAAAGAAAAGAAAAGAAAAGAAAGATTTCATTAAAAAAAAAAAAAAAAACAATGGCGTGCCCATAAAGTGGTGAAAGAAAAGAATCACCCACCGACATATTTAATAAAATGATTTTTGAATTAATTGTTATTAAATAAATAAATAAATAAATAATGTTTAATTACATTAACCCTGACTTTATTACCTTTTTTTTTTTTACACACAAAATTGACAACGGTTCCCTTTAAAAATATAAACGTTATACATTTATTTACTCTATGACTTAAAGAGAATAGTAAATAAACAAATTTATTTAAATTTATTCCGTAACATAAAAAAAAAAAAAAAAAAAACACGTCACCCGCATAATTTCATTTTTTTTTTTATCGTAACAAAAAATTTAATTACGGTAATAAATAAATAATTAATTAATTAATTAAATCAAATCCATGTGGATTTAGCAGACGACGCCATTTTATTTTAATATTTTTTTGCGAAAGGTAAGAGGAGGCGTAAAAAACACAAAATAAACATGGAAACACATTTTCTCTCTCTCTCTCTATAAACGATAAAATTTATGTTTTTCGATCGTGAATTAACAGCGGGTGGAACTTCTGGTTGACATATTTCATAAAACGTCAACAAGAAACACAAAATACCGCCACACACCACGCACAAACACGCACACACACACACGCACGCACACACACATGAAATTTTCTTTCAAGGTTTTAATGACACAAATTCATGATTTTTTTGAATTCGTCTAATTATTTT